ACCTCCATAGATTACGCTGGTTGGGACATGTGCTGCGCATGTCACCAAATAGGTTGCCACGGCGAATGATGCTTGGCGAGGCAGGTAGTGGTTGGAAAAAAATCAAGGGCGGTCAAGCTAAGACCTGGCATGTGGGTATGAAGACCCTGACCAGGAGACTGGCTCACATAGGTCCCGTTATGCTCCCTGGTTGGGGACCTCGAGATCATAATCACCGATGGTAAGGGACACTGAGTGATATGGCTGGATGTCGCAAACAGTGGCGCTCATGCAAAACCAGCGCACGAAAGTGAATGGTTAATGGTTGTAAAAACTGAACTGAACACGTTTTGCGTATATCCCACGGTCGCCTAACGCAGCGCGCCCTGCAGTGGTTGTTGCAGGTTGGGGGAAGCCACATGGAGGCCAGCAGATGTGTGGAGACGAAGCATGAATAAATGCGCAGAGCGATCAGGTAAAGTAGGTGTCTCTCGTCTTCCGGGTTGGGGTTCAGAAGACTCCTAAACCCCATGGTTGGAGATAATGAAGGTAATGGCTGCAAACCGACAACAATTGCGATCATGCTGTCACTTCTCATCAGAACAGAATGCTTGAAATTGTGTATGCACAGCTGAACTGTGTACTGTGTTGACCATAGATTTTTGCTTTCTTTTCTCGTCCTTAAAATTATGTCCAATCCCTGTCCTCCTTACACGTTCTCACTCACCTTGAATGCAGTATAAGTTTGGTAGCGATCATTGAAGTTCACTTCACTGTAGTACGCTGTACAATGATGATGATAACCCTTTGGGTAATTCCGTCTGGCTTATGGATCATTCAACCGTATCAGATGTAAACTGCCATTGGCAGTAAGTAAATACTACAGTTCTTTTTTGCGTTGTAATTAGGTTTGTTGAGCAGATTTCCGGTATCGAGTTTATGATTTAAACCGTACTATATACTAATCCGATACCGTGTCTTTACACTGTTCTCCGTTTTCCAGCATGTCGCATAATAATGGTGTCAAGCGGAAACCTGCGTTCATGGAAATGCAAAATAATCTGGATGAGGATAGACCCGGAAACAAGTCCTTTGAATCCCCTATTTTGGATTCGTTTAGTGGTTTGACTTCTGTGAAGACTCATCCCACCGCATGTAAATCGGAAAATCCCGATGATCTGCGAACCAAGGTAGATTAGATTAGGCAAGGTTGTTTCACATTTTTTCGTTTTATTGTCATTAAAATTTTTTTCTTTGGATCGCACATTGTGTCGTGATACACAGCGGAATAGGTATACCCCATAGTCACGGCTATCTGCTGCTCACTTATGGCAGCTTGCAAACTAAGCTCCCCACTAGCATAGGCGTAGAATTTAGCAGGGCGACAAAAAACTGTCTACCATTAAAGTTTGGTGCCGGTAGCCGGGTTCGAACCTCGGATTCCATGGCGGCAACTTAAACCACTTGAGCACTACCACTTCCAGTGAATTCATCTACATCGGAACTGTACTTTGACCAATTTTATCGTACCGCAAAATCCTAGGCGTGTCAATTTTGGCAGATCAGTTAAATCGTTTGCGATGAAAGCTACTGACATATCATAAACTTTTGTTTTCATCAGGCTTGGTCATTCAATCAACCAATGAGATCATGTTTGATCAGAAAGCGAGTGTATGCTCACAATAGCCAATACGTTATTTACAATGTACAATTGTAGAGTAATTTGGCATTAAAATTACTGTTACTGTTGGAATGATTTATTTGATCGCTCATTTCTTATTTAGTATTAAAATAGAACATGTTTTCGTGAATTTGTGGTAACCGGCTACCTGGTCAGAAAATCCCGTTTGATTGGACTGGATATTGAGTTGAGCTATAACGAAGATGTTTCTCATCACTTGTTGCGTGCAACAGCCACCTGCTTTCACTGTTGGGTAGCGGCTGCACTCTGACGTTAGTTGTATCTTGCTAATTCCTCTTTTTGAACACCATTCAATTTAATCAATCGCTCAGCCTGTTGTGTTAACTATAGTTTTAAAGCTGAGTTGGTGTTGGTCTTCTGGTGGTTTTTTCCGCCTACTAAATGAGATCTTCAATATTTGCCAATGCGGGGGGGGGGGGGGAGGTGAGGAAAAACTGGACAGATGGGCAAGAGGGTTTTTGAAATGGGTACCTAAGACTTTGGGGCACAACATACTTCGCGGTAGCCCACACCGATGAACGGCGGTTTCTTTGGGAACCGTGACCGGAGCCTTCGACTCAAAAGTCTGATCCACAAGGGAGTGGGGTTTTAGTTTTAGTTAACTACGGCTGGAGAGGATAAACCGGCTCCATGAATGTCTCTGCCACCGCCCATGCTTGTCGGTTGACTGCAGAATCCTAGCGAATGTCGATTTAGTTGCTCTTCCATCGGCGGCTGCCTTACACCATCCGAAGTCCAAATCGGTCGACATATTCAAATAGTGTCCAATCAGGTTTTGACTTACCCCTCCCCTCCCCCCTTGTTGGCGGCGCCGGCCAGGACAAGCTGATGGTGCCAGGACAATACCTGTGGAGTGCATGACCCTACCATTGTAGTCGGCGGTGTTGAATGTGCGTTGAAAGACGGGCAATGTGACAGCGATTTCTGAGGTCCGAGTTGGAGACTCAAGGTAGTGGCGCGTAGATCTGATACAGGAGAGTGACGCACCTGTTTG